GGGTTTAGGGTTTAGGCTTAGGAGTTATCGTTTAGGGTTTAGGGTCAGAAAGGGTCCTTAAGCCCTGGGCCCAGTACCCACGGTCACTTTGAAGGCTCCATCGGAGCGTCATAATAGGGTCTCTTGCATTCTACACGTCTGTCCCCATCTTTGAGCTTTGAGCTCTTTCGCAGCCTCCGTCGAAACAGACTTACAGTTCATGGTTCTGGGCTTAATATTGAGGCGTGGATGGTTGTGGGAGTATAATCCCCTGACACTCCCTACATACAAACTATACCACGCCTCCAAAAACTCTATTGTGAATGAGTGTATACAAGCCCCTGGCATTCGGGTGCCCCAAGGAAGAACCTTAGGAGCCTTACTAAGAATCAGAAGCTTCTTAATCAGGCTCCTGTACCACAGAAACTCAAGGGTTTATGTATATCCTCCAATGTGATACGAGGTCTACTAATCGGAATTTGGTTTTGGGGCCTAGCCCGCTATATCTGTAACGAGGAACCCTAAGGAACATCACTAGTAATCTGTCAGGCTTCTACATTACTTACTTTTGCTGTGGAGCGTGCCAACTCGATGGTCAAGACCCTTGAATAAAGCGCTTGTGGCAGTGGAAGTAGCCATGGCAGCCGTCACACTTGCAGTCAGTTTCCTGCCAGTTTTTCAGTTCAGCGCTTGCGAGTACAAGGTTCCAAAGCGTACGGCCTGATGTAGAACCTGAACAGTAGGATGCCCTAAATGCCGGACCCTCACGTTCAGGAAGCCCGCAACTGTGCGTATCGTGCTCATTGCTATATGTATGTCTTGCTAACCGGGGGTGGTGCGCCTTGTCATCGGCTCGGAACTGTTGCTCAAATCTGCCACTGAATTCACTAAATGAAGCAATCTACCGCGATGAAAGATGACCACCTATGTTGCAAAGATCCCTCCATTAAGTTACTGTGATTTCGAATTAGGTCCCTAAAGAGAACCGTTGATCTGGCAGGGCACTTGGGATGCATCAAGAAGCCAACCGCCTGGGCAAGAGGGGCTGCCCCCTAAGGGCTTCAAGTATTTTATGAGGATGTTATAGGCTTCGAAGCGGTGGTTACGTGGGGCTTATAGGTTTTAGGGTCTATCCATAGGCCCCACAGTAGTTCCATTTTAGAGCTCATATTTAGAATCCCATAAGGTAATCCCAAAAAGGAACTACTGTGGGGCCTATGGGTAGGGCATAGTTTTTGGGCTTTTGCAAGAATGGGTTCCGTCAGGGCTTCGACCGTAGCGCACTAGGGGTTTTCGGAGTTCGGGGTTTCCCTACACCCTGACCCGTTTAGGGTTTGGGTTTAGGGGGTTTCAGCCTCGGCGAGTTTGGGGCTCGGGGGGCTTTCGCGATGTGCGACTTTGCGACTTTGGAGCTACGGCAGTGCCCGAACTTGTAGAAAGGGCGTTGCGCAAGGTTACAACGAAGAAACCATAAATCGAGAACACTGTATGGCCCTTGCAATATAGTGGCCCTGCATAACTTATAGCAGGTGATGTGACCGGATTCCTCCATGTTCGCTTATCGGGGAGGTCGTGGGTGCGTCATCTGTTCCTTTGTAGGTCACATCGTGTCCATCTTGAGCCACGTGCCCTGCATACTCCAACACCCCAAACTCTAATTAAACCCTAGACCCAAAACCCTACACCCTTTAGTTCCAACCCAGACCCGGGTAAGACAGAGGGCCGCAAGATCTCGTTCGCAAAGGGGTTGAGGAATCCAGTAGGGAGTCTTCCCGACACCTAAGCCCAAACCCGGCATCCTATGTGTATGGATCTCTCTAAACGACACATGTCGATGTAGCTACGTGCAGAGAACTTCCAAGGTCACAAGCGAAGGGGGTCGGGATAATGTAGGGGCCTTAATAGTGAAAAAACAGGGGGGTTTGGCCCCCTTAATAATATACTTATAGTAACCCTGAGGAATCATATTGGCGAATTCTTTAGGCTTCTATATTAAGTTTCGGGGTCTCGGGCTGCAGGGTTTAAGAGCCAGGGCTATGGTCTCATGTAGGGCTGGCGGTTTAAGGCTTGGGGTGAAGCGTTAGTAAGTAAATCAATAGAAAGCTTTCAAAACCCCGCTGAAAGCCGTCATGAACTCATAGGCAGAAAGCACTACAAACTGCACAATCACACTCCTAAACCCTAAACCCTTAACAACGCTTAAGGAAGAAATACGCATTCTTTGCCCACCCTGGCCTCCTGGTGCGGCTGCAGAGGCGGGCATGCGGCCTGTTCGTCGAAGGTGACCTGCAGACCGTGGGTGGGGGAGGGGGGAGCAGATTGTAGCCCAGGTTTGTGTCGGAGTTTAGGACTCTGGAATTGGGGGTCTACGCTTCGGGGGTTAAACTGTAAGGGCTTGGAGTTTAGAGGGTTTGACTTTGGCCAAGAGGCCCAGTTGTAATTGCTGTCCCTGTAGAACGATACAATACCAAGCCCCTTTTACGAGTAGAACCCTATGAAGCCCGTATGCTTGCCTACAACCTAAACCCTAAACCCTAAACCCTATAATGGGCCTATAAGCCCTCCAAGAAACCTTGCAAACCGCGGCCAGGCGAAAGGGAAGTCGGTTCAAAGCTTAGCGCCTTTAGGGCTGAAGGCTTGGCAACGCACCCCAAGCCGTCCTGACACGCAGAACCTCCCAAAAAGAGCTTCTGACCAATATCCCTCTGACCTGGAGCCTGGAGCTGTCCCTCCCCAAACCCCAAACTCCAAAGCCCCTAAGCCCCTAAACCCTTAAACCCCCAAACCCGTAAACCCCTAAACTCAAACCCCTAAACCCCTAAACCCCTAAACCCCTAAACCCCTAAACCCCTAAACCCCTGAAGCCAAACCCCTAAACCCTAAACCCTAAACCCTAAACCCCAACCCCTAAACCCCTAAACTCCAAACCCTAAGCCCCTAAACCCTAAACCCCAAACCCAAACCCCTAAACCCCTAAACCCCTAAACCCCCAAACCCCAAGCCCTAAACTCCGACCTGGAGTTGCCCCTGGCCAACTTCCGATTTGATCATCACCGCCGTGGCGCGGCCTTAAATGCTGCCGAAGACTTACTTGGAGGATCATGGAACTTACGGTGGATGATATGAATCCAGCATTACCCCACAATAAGGAATATGCCATAACTCCCAGAGTTTAGGGTCCGGTAATGCAGGATTTATATCATGAACCGTAGGACCTAAGGGGTTGTAAATACCTGAATTGGCGTCAGAAGTAGTCATAGGGTTTAGGGTTTAGGGTTTAGGGTTTAGGGTTTAGGGTTTAGTCATAGGTATGGTAGCCAGATTCAAGCTTTCGCACTAGGGCCTGGGCCTGGGCGCATGGCCTAGGGCCTCTAGTCTGTTGGCATGCGATGTATAAATACACACATATATACAGAGAGAGAGAGAGAGATATATATATATATATAGATACATAAAACATATCTCAATCTGTATTCCTGTCACATAAAGTAAGCAAAAGCGCGAACAAGTGGTAAGTGGAGCAGTGTCTTGGGGAAGATTTAACGGGCCCTACCTGCAAGAAACCTCCACGCTCGCTGTTCGGGGGTGTCTCTACACCCTAACCCCAAACCTGATGCGCTTAGCCATACCTATATTGTCCATTGTAGTTCCTTCGTTGGGCCTAATCAGCTGTATATCAGTATTCCAACAAGGTATCCCAAAACAGGAACTACAATGGATATTGTAGATGGAAGCCCCCCCCCCTAACCACCAACGCCCAATTGGGCGAGCTGTCCATCCGGTTTCAACTTGTGATCTTGCCATACACGGTTTGGGGTTAAGTGCAGGGTTCAGAAGTTTAGGGCTTAGGATTAGACGCTCAGGGTTTAGGGTTTAGAAATTTAGGGTTTTGAAATTTAGGGTTTAGAAATTTAGGGTTTCCAAAAAGCAAGACAGCTTCGAATTGAAGGTCCAGGGAGTCTAGGGCCTGGGCCTTCGACCTGAGCCCCAACCTAAACTCCCACGAACTCCCTACAGAGCCCCCAGAACTTTGAGGGCTTAGTAGTTAGAATAGGGCTCCTTTAAAGGGATCCTTGAAGGGTTGTCTAATAAGGGAGCTATGATAGGGTTCTAATGTAGGGGCCTTAACAATGAGAGTAGGGTCTTGGGTTATATTCTACGATAACTATAATAAGGAATCCCCAAAGTAGTCTAGGTAGTGATTAAGGCCCCTATAAACTAGGGTTGAGGGAGCCTGTTCGGGGGAGAGCAAAGAACTCCTTGAGCTTCCGACGGTTGAAGCCTTCGTAACCTGCGAGAGTTGGATCCAGGAAGTTCTGTGCATGTAATCGAACTGGGGATCAGCAGAATTCAACAACAGTATCCCTTTTTGTCTAGAAGTCTAGTCTGCCCTTGAAGGCCATGTACCCTTAAACCCTAAGACGCTAAAGCGCTAAACCCCTGCAAAACCCAAACTCCCACAACCCTACACCCTAAAGCCGTACAGCCCTAAAGCCTTAAATTCTTCCTGTTTGCGGCACGAGTAAGCCTGGAGATATGGAGGGTTTGGGGTGTCGTATAATTCAACTCGAACAACCCGGATCCTTGTGTGTCGGCTGTCCTGCGACCGATTTCCGGGCCTGGAAGTACCTCCCGAGCACAGTCTTCCCAGTGCTGCACAGGATAGCCATCCTGCACAAGAGACGGTAGTGGCCCAGGTTTACTCGTACTGAAACCTATCTATCCTCACATGCAAACATACATGCATACATCAATGCATGTACACACGTCCGTACTATGCTTCTGCATATGGATAATACATGTGTCTATGTCTGCAAATGTATGTATGCATGCATGCATGCATGTAACGATTGTGCATGTATGCATGTACGTATCTATGTCAATGAACATGTCCAACGTCTCTTAAGGTTTGGGGTTCTGGAGTCTTAGGCTCCAGGGATCTGGTCGGGAAGGAACTCCATCTCCGCACTCCAAAGGCGAAACAACAAGCCAGACCGAAATAAAATTAGGATCCGGGGGGGGGGGGGAGTGGGGACATGGACCCTCTCCATAAGGTCCTTTTAAGAGGGCCAGAAGTAGGGTTTAAGAAGGGTCCCCTTTCCTTATACGACCTAGAACGTCAAAGTCCTTGGGGCCAGCAGGCACGCTCTGAGATCTGAGAACGGCATCCGTCAAAAGCTACTCCGGGCAACACAGGTTTGGGGTTTAAGGTTTAGGGGTAGGGTTTCGGGCTTAGGGGTTTAGGGTTTAAGGTTTACGGAAGGTCCTCCATAGCTTGTGGCTCGTCGTTGACATCTCCTCATGCTGCATGGTCTCAAGTTTTGCTGGTACTGGCTGGAAACCAAGCCGTCTAAGCCCCTAACCCTAATCCCAAACCCACGTGATAGACCTCTCAAACTCTCAAACAGGAAACCTGATTGACAGGGGCCTGGTTCCGGACTTAACCAGTGATTTATTTGCATCCATTCGTTGCTTCGTTGGAAAAGCTCATATACCCTTAGACAAGATCATGCCTTGCCTAGGATGCCATTGCCTCCCTTGCCAATCTTGCCTTGCAGACTTTGCCTATCAGGAAAGATGTTGACCACCGAACCGAGAGGTGGAGAAGACTTATATAGGGGCCTGAATAATTAGAATAGGGTTCCTTTGAAGGGATCCTTACAGGGCTCTATAAGAGAGCTATGATAGGGTTCTATAGTAGGGGCCTTAATCATTTGAATACGGTTTTGGGATGTAGTATACTGTAATAAGGAGCCCCCCAAAATAATATGGGTACTTATTAAGGCCCATATACTAGTAGGGCACAGCATGCTAGAATGACCGTACGGGCTGTGGGCTCCTGATAAACAGCTGAGCACGGGGCTGCTTTGTTGCGAGCTACATCATGCTAGCCCCTCCCTGCTTTCCTCTTAATATCCTTCCCCTAAATCCCTCATGAAAACCTTGTAAGAACACAACAGCCATAAACTCAAAACCCCGATGTGGGTTCTTAAACAATAACCCTAAACCGTATAAACCCTCAACCCTAAACCCTAAACCCCCTTCGCATGCGGTTCCGCGACTCCGAAAAACACGAGAATGTGCCGCACCCTAAATTCTACTTTTAATAAGGGTTTAGGGCTCTAGGGCTTAGGGGTTTAAGATGTATTGCTTTACGGCTTTCGTGGTTTAGGGTTTAGGGAAGTTTGAGATCTTACCCTACGGCCCTGGAATATTCTGCTTTTCGGCCGAGTCTCCCAGATCTGCCAGGACCGCTGCGCCTTTTCTTTGTAGGAGTTAGGGTTTAGGCGCGTGGGGACAGCTGGAAGGAAAAATTACGAATGGTGTCTTTATAATACCGATATACTTATAGTATAGCATACACTAAAGCCACATGAGGTTGAAGGGGCTCGTAAACATGCGAAAAGTCTTCTAAATTCAGAAAGGTGTCTGTGGTGTCCATGGGGATTGAACATGCTTAGTGTTGGGCTTATGGCTCGAAAAATTAAGATCCTTCTGGTGGTCTTTATGACAAGGATCCTACGGCCCCACGATTGCGGTGTTCTTTTGTGAAGAGCTTCCTTATTTTCTACAATCGCCTATGAGGTTGGGAGATTCGGCATGGGGTTCAATGGTTTGGGGCTCACTGATTTCTGATTGTGGTGTTTATGGCCTCCTTCGTTGATTCTGATTCCGCCTTGTGGCTGTCAATCCAAGAGGTGTTCCCCAGAAGAAACCCGAAACGCCAAATTTGCCTAAACCCTCAAAACATATGGAGGTCGGGCCGGCTGGGAGATCAGCGTCTCTGTTCAAACAACACGCCCAAGCCATCACCCCACACCCAACAGAGGCCCGCTCAAAACCCTCAGCAGTTAGCAACAGCAAGCATCATTCTGAGATCGGAGCTGAAGTTAGCCTCCTCCTGTTTCTTGCGCCGCGTTGCGGATGGCTTTAGGGTCGGGGGTTGAAACCCCAAACAAGACCCCAGAATCAGAATCCTAAACCCAAAAATCCTAAACCTCAAAATCCTAAACCCCAAAATCCTGAAACCCAAAAATCCAACACCCCTAAACCCCTAAACCCTAGCGGCTTCTGAGGGCCTTCTGAGATAGTCCAGGCCGGGTTTCGGGTTCAGGTATTTAGGGTTGCAGTACAGGCTACTAAAGGGGCGAGCATAAAAGAGACTATGTAGTGTTTAGGGTTCAGGGTTTAAGGTGGAGGGTGTAAAGGAGACTATATAGGGCTTAGGGTTTATAGGGTTTAGTAGACTATCAGGCCTACTATCCGGGTTGTACTACGGGTTTACAGGGGTCTTGATTGCACAAGGGTTGTGGGGAAGTTGAGGGTTCCGGACCACAGGGTTGTGGCGATAGTTTATGCCTTAGGGTTGCTGAGGGTTGCAGGTTGAGGGTTGAGGGTTTAGGCATGGGGCGTAGGGTTTACCGTGTGGGGACAGCTTAGGTTTAGGTGGTGGGTTTCGGGCTTTTTGGTTAGTGGGTTTCAGGGTTGTGGGTTTAGGGACGGGACTCACTTCCTAAAACTAAATCCCCATGTGCTAATCAGACCCAATGGCCCTCTTGTGTCCCCATGCAGCTAAGCCTGATCATGAAGCTTAAGGACTACGTGAAGTCTGCCTTGAATGTTGGGTTGTGAACTGCGATCGCCGCGAGGTCGTAGCGGTTAATGGGCTTACGGGTCTATGGGTGTGGGGCTTAGGGTTTAGAGCTTAGGGTTTAGTAGGGTGTATGAGGGTTTATCGGCTTAAATCCCCGAGGCCCTAAACGCTCAACCGTAAAACCCGAACCCTGAATGCTTAGAGGCTTAGACCCCGCTTCATCAAGTCCGTCGAACAGTCGAACGAACCGTCCTCGGCATCCACAGATTCCTCCCCAGAAAGCGCTTCGGAGTCTGAACCTCGGGAGATTTGCCGAAAGAGAGCAGAAGGAATATTGCGGGTGCGGGGATCAGGGTACCGCAATGCGGTGGCTTGAGTGAGGGGACCTAGACTTTGCAGACCCCCGTCATAAGGATACACAGCCCTACTTGGCAACCCAATGTGGCAGAAATCCCAAAGGAATCCTTCTGCGGGAAACCAACATCTTCAGCAGCAGCAACGACTGCTTGAAGCATTTTTGAACAATCTGAATCATTAAGATGTACCCCGCCAACTGCACCACTGAGCACTCTTCTCTAACCTACTTACGAAGCCACCTCAGCAACCTAGTAGACCCCAAGTAGGCTGCTCCAACACAGAAACCGTGACCCGAACTCTAAAATTTCGAACCCTCTCAAACCCTACGCCCTAAGTGCTCCAAAACACCATCCTAAACCAAAGCTGCAAAGCCGAAACCTTCGAACCCTAAACCCTACCAGCCGAAGAACCTCAACCCTAAGAACCTGGAGCCCCAATCATCTGGAAGCCTGAAGAAGCTGTTGGATTACCACGGTATATACGATGTATTGCAAACTAGGGACTATAGTGTACGATGATGGTAGTGTTGTTGCCGAATATATGTTGTTTTCTGATGTTTCTGGTTTCGAATCAGTCATGTGTACAAATTGCAAGTACTTCGCATACTGCTATCTTCATTGCTACGAGTAACTATTGAGACAGACCCCTGTAAACTGTAGTGGGACTCCCCTCGCTGAAACCCTACACCCCAAACCCTGAATCCCAAACCCTAAACCCCAAACCCCTAAACCCTGAACCCCAAACCCTTAACCGCCTTGGGCTCCTACCAAATAGCGCTCCCTCCAGCTCCTCGCCACCTGTCCTCAGCAAAGTCTCTGGACTTCTGGAGGAACCCGACAGGTTGCAGAGTATAGAGGCCTGAATAATTAGAATAGGGTTTTGGGGTATATAGTCATAATATAGCATGAAGATAAATTAGTTTCGAAAAATTGAAGATTTATGAACACATTATCTACAGTATTCTATGATATAATACCACATATATATATATATGTACACATATCATCATGTATCTAATGTCAACTGGAAATAATACAGTTCCTAAATCTATATTACTTATACTTGAAACATCACTAGATGATAATGTATTGAGGTTATATATGCTCGTAATTTATGTTCTGCAATATTATAATCAAAAAACCATGTTTTATACTTACATGACAATTATGAATATTTATATATTTCATTTTTGTTAACTGAAAATCTGTTGAATGTTTCTTATAAATACATATTTTTTATAATATCACGTATACAATTTAATTCGTTTAAGTTAAATATGTTATAAAGATTAGAGTTCCATTCTGTGTACAAAAACACCGTGGACGACACGGAGCAACGTGAACTCGCCGGCAACGGTGCAACTCAAGGCGAGATCCAGCATAAACTCTGCAAACTTCACACTTCGTAGATGGGTGCCAAGCACGAGACAACCAAGCTGCTCTGCCGGAGCCAAAGCTTGAAAATGACCGCAGTCCTGGAGTTTGCCAAGGGCCTGTGTCAAACCATCGGAGGCAGGTTTCAACGCGTGTAGGAAGCTTCCCTGTAGAGCGTGCAGAAAAGTGAGCGGCTCGTCGCGCAGAAACAAAAAGGGGTTGCCAAGGTGAAACAGTCGAAAAAGCCGACATCCGGGATGTGCCTCAGCCGCGGGAATCGAGCAACCCAAAAATAGCTGTTTTTTAGAAAATATATGTATGTAAGTAGAACTAAGATATGCTATATATATGTACATATACACACCAAAATTTGTAAGTATTTATTCAACAGTAGTTAAATAACGTGTCTATATCATAATAATCTACTTGTTGGTTATATGTATTGTTTACATAGTCAGAACACCTTTCAATTTCAGTATATTCTGTTGTTTTTAAATGCAAAAATATTTTTCTGTTCTTTGAATTTTTACAATTGGTTAATATATATATATATATAGTTGCTATATATATATAATCATCTGATAAATGATACCAGTTTCTATATCATGAATCATATGTTGATATTTGCTTATTATATTTGCTTTCGATTATTCTTTCACCCATACTTGTTCATATAAATTTATAGTAGACAAGAAGTTATCAAGGAAATTATACATATATGTAATATATTAACTAATAATAGGCTCTGGTAAAATAATACTCATCGATAATTTCTGGTAATGGATTACCATATATTTCTATGTTATCTAAATCAAAACGAGTTGCATCTGGTAAGTTTATTGGAATTATATACCATTCATTAACATGAAAAAATAAAAACTTGCCTCATTATTGTTTTGAACCTTTAGACTATTTATATTAAATTGTTATATTCTATTATTTCATTTACTTTGTGATGCTCCAAGTTCAATTTTGGAATCTCTATTTTAAGATATAACCTTGATAAAATATTTCCAACAGTTTGTATTTTTTGAACACTGATTATTAAATGACTGTGTATTTAATAACTCTGTATTTTGTATAGTTGAAAATCTAGTATGCTGCTTATACACAGCTTTAAAGTTATTTCTGGTTTTATAGTTAAAGGAGCATCTTCTATACCTTGCGCTATGAATAGTTCTAACCCTCTGTTTGTAGACATTAAATTCTACAGAAATACCATATTTTCTGAATTTATACTAATATTAATTTCTTCATAAATTTTGATATTTCAACTCACTTGGTTAATGATTGAAATATATATTTACATGTGAAACACATAATACATTCATTAGTATTGTCGTTAATAAGATTATGCTTCTGAAAAGTATAGTTACATTAAGCTGCATACTGTATATATTTAACTCATTTTCTAAGAGTATTTATACAATTCAAACAATAACGATACTATAAAACTGTATTGTCGTCATCATTGTGACTTGCAGAAATCTGTACATCTGCATGTGGGCAACAGATGCTCAGGTATGGCTCTTCTGAACGTAGCAGCCCTAAGCTATCAGTGACAGGAAAATTTCAGGACTCCCAGAGAGTCCTCTGACCGACATGCAGTGTGCAGCCGTTGCACACTGAAAACGAAGACCTCGCTCTCGGCGGCGTAACAGCCCCTTGAGCCCACCATGAGGGTGGTGGCCGTCCGGCAAAACCGGCATGGCTTCGAGCCCCAGTTCATCCAGCAAGTCGTGTGGAGGTTGCCCTCCACGTAGGTCGCTTCGGTCCAACCAACTCGACGTCGTCCACACAAGCCAGAACAGGGCAATTTGCCCTGTAGTTGTTGAAGCAAAAGTTCTCAATCAACGTCTGGCCCCTCTCCGTCAAGGAACTCCCTTCCAGGGCAGACTCTGCCATAGAGGCAAAAGGCAAAGCATCCGAAGCACAGATCGAGATCCGGCTTGGACTTGAGCCCCTCCATGGACTTCTTCGAGACACCTCTTTCTCTGGAGGGAATCCGGAAGTTGGAGTGTGTTCTGCGGCAGCAGCCGCAACGGACGTCGTCCATCTGTCCTGTGCCCTTGTTAAGGGGACGACGCGGGGGCTTCAGGATAGTACCGAACTCCTCAACCATGACATGGGTGTCAAAGTCAAAGAGCGGGTTCTCCCTCAGGATGTCATGAACCTCAGAGACGCACAACACCCGAAGTCCTCGTCGTGCCGCGAGAAGGGCACGAGCGTACTTCCTGTTGAAGATGGTCCCCAGCAGGTCACCCTGGCTGATCCTGTAGATGAGTGTGAGGCGGTTCTGGACCTTCTCACAATCGACGGCACCCGGCGTCGACCTCCTCATCGAACCTCTGATCAGTGCGCTTTGAAAGTGGAAGGAGGCTTCCCGGGTGTGGGGTCAGGATCTGGGGAATCTCATGGAGAGGCGCGGACATGGCGTTGCGTTAAGCAGCTGGGAGACACTTTAAAATCTCAGCACAAGTTTTCAAACTTGCGCCAAAATGGCTACGGGAATAGTTTGTTCAGATGGACATGACATTCCATGTTAATTTGAATCTGTATTTTATTCATTTATTTATTTAAACGGATTTCTAGTCAATTTAAAAGCTTCTTTTTCTAGTATCTTGAATGTCCGTTGTTTTTTCTGTTGGCTACATATTTCTTCAGTTTATATCTTATTGTAGTTGTTTTCCTTTAAATATATAGGGTTAAAGTTTTCAGTATGTTTATTAGTATTGTGAACAAACAATTGCATATAATAGAATCAAATTAGCATTATCATTATTATCATATAAGTATAGTTTATCAATACAGTAAGAATTTAATGTTGAATATTATGGTATAGATTTCTGCATTAATATATATATATATACACATACATACATACATACATACATACATACATGCATGCATGCATGCATGCATGCATGCATGCATACATACATACATACATACATTAACAGCTCAATACTTACGAGTCGTTCTTTTTATGTTATTTAACATTTTTCTCTAAATGTTACATTATCTACAGCAACAAGTTTAGTTACAAACAATATGCGCATATACATCGTATAATCATTTTTAATGGGTAAATAATATTAGGAATATACCATTTAAACATCTTTGCCTGATGTATCATATAGTATGTTAAATCCATGCATTATAGGATATGTTAACATATAATCCAACAATATGTTTGCTTCATTTCTACATTTATCAGAAAATGTTCATAATATGTTTCGAATAGTTCATCTGGATCTAATTTTATAAAATTACTACTTTCCGAGTTATTATGTTTTACTAAGTGTTCATTGCTTTTGATTTTCCAGAACCATAACCTCCAACTGACGCAGACGTCGGAAATAAAGTACCTCTATACTGTTTCTATCGAGTTTCTCTGAACTGTGCAGAAGGCTTCAGCACTCTTAGAGTGAGCGTCGGGTAGATAATCTGTTATAGGGATCAATCTAAGGCCAGTTGGGGCCTCGGGGTTCAGGGGCGTCAACAAGTTGAACAGGACTTGGGTGCTTGGTTTAGGGTTTAGGGTTTAGGGTTTAGGGTTTAGGGTTTAGGGTTTAGGGTTTAGGGTTTAGTGACTACCAGGACACCGCTGGGTTTTGGGATTTCCCGGGCTTGAGCCTTTTATAGGCTTGTGGGGTGTTTAAGTCTTCTTTTGGTGCTTCGGGCTTCCAGGGTCTAGGGTTGAAAGTTACCCTACACCCCTAAAACCCTAAACCGCTAAATCCAAAACCCCTAAATCCTAAAACCCTAAATCCTAAAACCCTAAACCCTAAAACTCAAAACCCTAAAACCCTAAACCCTAAATCCTAAAACCCTAGATCCTAAAACCCTAAAACCTAAAATCCTAAAACCCTAAATCCTAAAATCCTAAACCATAAATCCTAAGACCCTAAACCCTAAGACACTTACCGTCTATCGGAATCGGAGTTGGCATTCGTTGGGCTGGGGTTTTTTGTTGGGAGAACTCCAGGAGTCAGTCAAGGCCCGAAGGTACAAAAAGAAGGGCGGGTTTAGGGTTTGGGGTTCAGGGTTTAGGGTTTAGGGTTTAGGGTTTGGGGTTTAGTTTTTGGGGTCCATTAGGGGTTTAGGGTAGCCGTCCATAAATTAGAATAGGGGCTCCTAGGGTTTAGGGGTTTAGGGTTTAGGGTTTTGGGGGGTTGGGGTTTAGGGTTTGGGGGGGCTGGGGGTTTAGGGTTTCGGGTTTAGGGTTTGGGGTTTAGGGTTTAGGGGCCTTCATGATTAGACTAGGGTTCCTTTAAAGGGATCCTTGAAGGGTTCCATAAGGGAGCTATGATAGGGTTCTATAGTACGTAGGGGCCTTCATAATTAAACTAGGGTTTTTGGGGCCCACTATACTATAAATACAATACGGAACCGACAAAATGGTATTGGTAATTATTTACGCCCCTAC